CTGCCAGAATGTCACAACTGCATCGAACATAGTGCAACTGGCAAATGCGTTGGAAATGGATGGCGTGTTCATGGTGGACCTTGGCGAATGAGTGGAACTTGTGAGCTGTGACAGGTTTACCCCCTGTACGCAAGTGAGCGCAGCACAGCATTGGGTTGTAGTGGATGTGGTATCGCGCGCGGTCCAATGGATTGTCAGCGATCCGGAGTATTCGGCTGGAATCTGTTTGACCCCGAGACCACAGGCAGCGATGTTGAAAACATTCTTTGTTACGCGCACGTTGGCAGCAAAGTGACCTTGGTGTTGTTTGGTGGTGTTGGACGCGCACCATTCACCCTTCTAATTGTGGACTTGGCCTACGGCGATGACAGCACCTTTCTTGAACTGGTCTATGGCTTCTTGAGCGATCTGCTGCGTGCGGTTGGAGTTCTTGTTGACGGTGGACTGACTGGCCCAGTATGGTAGGCACCTGCGGGCATCTTGGACGCGGCAGGCGATCACATTGTCTGCCCGTGTTGGGGTGTCAATTCTGCTGCGCTCTAGCCTGGTCAGGTCGACGACAGTCGCTGGGCCTCTCCATCCTGAGGACCCCTTTCTTGCCGGTGGGCAGAAGTACTCCACAGCTTCTCCTACCTTCAACTCAGGCTCTTCTCCAGACACCCTGGTCAGTGTATGCAGTGCGTGCTTCATGCGCTCTCAAGCTGTTCCTTAAGATTCTACGATTGCCTGAGCGGCAATTTCACGCAAACGATGCGTATGGGCCGAGCTTGGCGCGCCGGCCGAATCATCTGGCACTGCTACATGCGTCAGGCATGATGAACATTGCCCAGCGTCGCCGTAGAAGGCGAGTAGCCGTTGACCTTCGTCAAGGCGTTCGTCGCATAGATTGCTTCAGAGAGGATCCTGGAGATTGGGATTCTTAACGCCTCTTCGATTATGCGCGATTGTATTTTGCGCTTTCAATGTGTCTCGGAAAACTTGTGGGCCCTCCGGTCCACAATGCGGGTGCGCTGGCCGACTGCAGCCTCACGCTTGGCGATGCCTCTGATCTCAATGTACACGCGGGCTTCGCCGTCCTTGAGGCCTTGTTCGCCATCAAAGATCAGAACCTGCATCCTCCAGTGCTGGGATTGGTTCTTCTGGCGCGTCACCTTATTGCCCTATAGGGCTCGTTCAACTAGCGGCACGTTGCGGAAAAGCTGTTGCTTGTCGGCCTTGCGGCCTCAGCGGCGGCTGCCGCGGCGTCGTTGGCCTTGCCCAGTTCGGAGGCCTTCAGCTTGTACGCGGGCTTTTCCTCCGCTGGGACTCTTGAAAGGGGATGCTTGCGTTCTCCACGGGTCCTGGCGCGCTGTACTTACTTCGAACTTTTGGAGCCACCACAGGCACCCTTTGCACTTCCTTCATGGGTTGTCTTCAAGAGGACCTCCCTTTGGATTGGAAGCGTCGGTGGCCACTGCGGGTGCTCCTTCTGTGCCTGCGAAGCAGTTCTGCCAGCTGGCACTTGGCGCTGCTGATGCCAGGACATGCTCGGCCTACGAATGGCTTCACCAGCTCTTAGTGAACTTACTACCGGCTGGGTGGACTCCTTGGCCGGGTAGCGACTTTGGGCCTACTTGGCATTGGTCAAAGACAAGTGACAGTGATCGTCGGTCACAAGCTACTGTTGGCCATGGTGTAACTTAAAAACAAGGTCGAACCTGTGGGCTGTTCCACTAGATAGTGGCGGTCGTCACTCAACTGGATCAGTGCGATCTCTCCACATGGCTTGGCGATGGGTTCAGCAACTCATTACAGATCGGCGCCAAGCATCTTGGTTGACGATTGCGTTCACGCGGCCAAGTGGAGAGTATATGGTGCACACACTGGGGCCATTACAACTACCAGTGGTCTAACCGTCTTAACAAAATCAAATACTTTTCTCACTGTAGATGGGTTGGTCAAATCTGTGCCTGCGATGACGTCGAAGTTGTGGCTGCTGCGCAATCGGCTTTTCACCACAAACCAACATGTCAAGCTGCGGCCACCACGTATCTCGACAATCTCAACTCCCCATGGCCCTCGTACGCCGTGGTGTTTGCTCTACATTTCATCTATGTCGCAGGCTCAGTAGGAATGCCCCGTGAGCTTCGGAGACTTGGCTGTTTGGCTGCCGTCGCCAATCCAACAGGACAATGATTGGCTAAGACCCGCTGGCACTTCCACATCTGACTCATCTTCCGGCGAAGTGCCTTTGAAACAATCTAATTCGGGCTTCAAGACTGGAGGCGCCAGGTTGTCTCCGCAGTCATCAAAGTGCTGCTGGATGAGCTTGCGGCGCTTGACGGGGATGTGTCCTTGTTTTCTTCTTTCAGCTGCTGCAAATCCTTCTTCTGTGGGGAAAGCAGCTTCTGCATTTTGTGCCTCTTGATGTCCCGGGTCAGCTCTGTCTCACAAGGAGACAGTGGTATGCGAATTGAGGCATGAGTAGGTTACATTCTGGACATGTGATGCAGCAAACAGTGTCCTGCAGAGATGGGACGGTCTCTGAGACATGCACAGGAAAATCTGATCAGAAAGGAGCGCTCTCAGCGGCGCGTTTTTGCATTGTTTCATTTTGTTTGTATTTTGTTTCTATGTTTGTATTGCGTTTCTATTGATTTTTGTGCCACTGAAAGAATCCTATTCTGCCTCAACCCCCCCCTCCCCCAAAGGCAATTTCCAAAATTCTCCCCCCAAAAAAAAAGACAAAAAAAAAACAATTGTGCCAGGACTTTGCCTCACCCCCTCTTCCCCCCATGGTCTGTGCAGAATTTCTTTTTTGTTGGTTCTTTTGGTTTTGTTTGGAATTTAGGAAAAATTGGAATTTTGAATTTTTGATGTCCTGGGATATTTTAAATTTTCAATTTCCTTGGAAGTAGACAATACTCCCGCTTTCCCTCAATTCCAGAACAGTCTCTGAAATCAAATGACAAAAAACCTCAGTGATTTGCTCATTAGGGTCTAATAATGCTCCTTCTGCTCCTTTAACTCTAAAATTGGTAATACCTGACATTTTAGAATTATAACCAGTAAAATTGACATCTGCCATCTTTTCAAATGACATACCAATAATGAATTTGTTCTCTCTGTATTGACGATATGAAAACTTAAACTGTCTTGATCTGGGTTCATGTAATGTATAGCTCTTCTTAAATAGTAAAAGGTTTCTGATAATGATTGCACTTCAAATTCTGGGTATTTCTGGGAACTGCTTAATTGAATTTGCCAACTTAAACTACGGGCGGCATCTTGAAAACCTTTACCTTGTAAGTCATTTGTATCAGCATTACCAGTATCATTAATTCTTCCATAGATCATAGGATTGTAAAAATAATTCCATCTCTTATATACAAAATTGTCAGGTAAGTATCGGTTCAGATCTTCACCACTTCTTGGAATTCTAAATAAGGTAATGAATGCTCCAGTCAGTTTAGAAGATGATTTTAATATTCATATTGATTTCACCACCACCAGCATTGAAGGTTTGGGTGATTGTGTGATAACAATTTGTAATGTTTCTTATCTTTGCCATTCCGCCCCCTTCTATGTCCTGCCATTCTGACACTCAATGGCTGACAAGTAGCACCAATATAGACATCGTCAGTTTTGTCATTTAGTATTCTGTACATTTTTGCCTTGGAGTAATCCACCACAATATTACATATGTTAATTAAGTTTAAGTGTTTTTTTAAATGAGTGATTAGGGTTAAATCCATTGCTTATATTGGTGCCGGGATTTATGTTCCAAAGGCCGTTCCCTTCAAAATTGATATAGCTGTGGCTCATTAAAGGGTTAGGTTCTTTCAAATCAGAAGTTACAGCGTAAGCATCCAAAATTGAAACAATATCGGATGGATTGCGGTAGTCAAGTCTTTTGGGATTTTTCCCTTTCCTTTGTGTTTTTATTGTAGGGGTAGCATAGGTTGTTGTAGCAAATCTATTGGGTTGTTCTTGATTGATCTTATTACAGCACTTGCAAGGCTATGTCCAACCAAACGGGTTATTTCTGCTGATTTTTCCAATGCTTCTATAACATGTTTGTATTTCTCACTGTGATGAACATTTCTAGTAGGTACTAATAACAGATCATCGATAATATCCCTTGTTAAAGATCCATCACGACCACCTGCGCCACTTATGTACAAAGTCTTACCTGTTTTGTAAAATCCACTTGGTGATGAATAGGCATTCCATAAGCCCCTCCATTCTTCTCTTCTCCTTGTTTGCTACATTTTTTCTTCAGCATGTAGTGTTCTATGTTGTTTAAAGTGATCATTTAAGTTTCTTGTAAAGTCATTCATTCTATCATTCCAGTTTTGGTTCTTTTTTTCATAATGACTGCAGGTTTCTTGACCGATCTTACTAATCTTACTGATTAACATCTGGGCGCTTCCAGGCAGATCCTTCCAGGCAATGTCAGACACATCAATCATTCTCAAGAAAACGCATGAAAAAGGTTGAAAAATGCTCATTTTCATCGAAAAACGTGCCGCTCACAGCGCTCCCCTCTCAATCTAATTCAGCTTCGGGAACGAGTCGGCTGGGTTCTTCGACTCTACCCCAGGCTCAGCTGGTGCCCAGGATAGAGCGGTGGTGAGAATATGCTCAGCGAACTGCTCTTCAGCAAGACCTCTTTGGTGTGAGGTTATTTCCTTGTCCAGCGCTAGCTCATTTATGTGTGTGGTGTTCTCTGGACAAGTGCACGGTGTATCGGTCACACCTGGCAAGCTGGCAATCCGGTGAACAACTGCACTCTTTGCTGCCGACGCTACCTATAGGGCGCACCATCTGTGGTGAGATTCAACTAATTCACAGGACTTGACAAGGTGCTGGACTTTCAAGGTCTCCCAGGCATCATGGCGGTTGCTTGCCAAGAATACATCAACAGAGTTCCGCCGGGCCGTCATGACCTCCGTGTGGATCATCATGACTACTGCATACCTTGGCTGGCCACAGAAGTTCTTTGGCGAGGTCAATCCAGACTAAGGCATAGCTCTGTTGCCTGATGTCTTCAAGGACTCTATTGAATTCAAGATTTCTGAGGATCTCAACAGGCCGAATGCGGCAGGCCCGGAGTTCAAGTCTTTGGCGTGCACGAACGGTGCTGCTGTGGTTGGAAATGGCCAACACTGCAGACTTGGCGTGGTTGCTGGCCCTTGCGAGGTATAGCAGCGAGAGTGGGCCATCGCTCTCGCTTGCTGGCCCTCACTCGGCCGTCCGCGGCCCCGACGCAGACGATCCTTGGCAGCCTCGCTTGTCGATCGCCTCTTTGGCGCTGGTGGCGGCGGCGGTTGTCGCACAGACGCTTTCGTCTTTTCTGGTGATGTCTGGGAAGTTGTGGTGCCTTTGGCCTTGGCCTCATTGACGTCCTCATCAGACCCCAAGATGACAGTACGTGTAGACTGCGGTGGCTGAGGCGGCTGCCTCTTTGGGTTTGGCACTTGCCTTCTCTTGGGCTTTGGCATGGCTTCTCGCGGCGCGGCAGATCCTTGCAAGTGAGGTGGTGGTCCAGGTGGTGTCTTCGGCTGAGGCACATCAGCAGGCCCTGGTGAAGATTGTGGAGGTGACCTTGGCACTGCTTTGGCGGCAGCTGCAACTCCTGCTTCTGTCAGCCTGAACTGCCTCACCCTCCTTGATTCACCGGACTCCTCCTCCTCCACCTCTACCTCTTCCATCTCATCTGCTCGCTCACGTCGCCTTCTCACTGGGCCGTACTCAACTCCAGCTGCGGCTCTTGCGGCTTGTGGCGCTCGATGGAGTTTACGAGATGGCGGTAGGAACTGGGCCACTTGGTCACGCGGTGTAGTCGTTGGTTCTGACTCGACAGCGTGGTGACTGGTTTCTGTCGCTGCACGAGTGGCCTCTACTGATCGCTCTGCAGCTGACTCTGATGTTGTGGCTGCAGGTGTCGAATCAACTTCCACGTCAGCTGGGCCAGCTGGCGGCGCTGGCGTGGCTGATGCTTTTGCAGTTGCATCCTCCATGTCAACATCAGTGTCACGCTGCAGTCCTGATCCGCTGGCGGTGGAGTCGCCTGTTCTTGGCTCGTCATCAGTGAACAGGTGGATCATCTTTATCTTCATCTTCTCGAACCTTCTTTTTTCCCATTTATTGAAGTCTGTGAATGGGAGAAGGAGATGACCTGATGGCGCTTGCTTCAGTGGATAAGACTCTGCGCCTTCAGGAAGTTCGTATTCTGCTTCACGATCATCCGGGATCAAATGCATCATCTTCTTGCCGAGATCGAGGATGGCGTTGTGCCTCATCAGGCTGCGCAGACCTAGGAGAGCAGGTGTATGGCTTTCCTCCACAATTGGACTCGTGAAGGTTCCCTCATGCATGGTTCCGTCCGATCGCTCGAGGGAACCGAAGAATCTCCTTGCCGGCTCGATGGAGGAATGGGATAGCCTGCTTCAACCATTCTGAACCTACAAGGTTTCCGTGTGAGCCAGGATCAACGAGGAGACCGCAGCCTTGTGTCAAGGCTGCTGCGTGAAAGCTCTCTTCTCTGCGCATTGGCTGCGGCACTGGCCACCAAGCATACGACTGCGCTGCTGCACCCTGATCGGGAGTTTGAAACTCTCTCTCCGAGTTTTCCAGCTCATCACCGCGCTCACTTGGCACTGGTGTGGTCACGGCGGCTGCTAGTGTTGCTGGAGGTTCAGTTGGTGCTTCGGACCTTGTGGTTGGGATTGTATATACCCATGTGCTCACAACTACTGCATCCGAACAGCAATTTGGGCACTGCACTGCATTGCCTTCAGACTCGGCATGCTGCATCATCTCACTGACGCACAGGCTGTGGAACATATGTCCACATTCAATCCTCAAGATCTCTTCACCTTGGTTGAAGGTCTGCTGGCCTATGGTGCACTGGTTGCTGAAAGGACGAACTTCATTTCGAGGTCGTGTTTGCGGTCGAGACCTCTCAGCTTGCGCGGACCTTGCTGCATGCACTTCAGCGAAGATGGACACCACTTCTGAGGCTGTAGCTACTGCAACTTGCTCAGGTGTTTGCAGCGCTTGAAGTATTGAAGTTCTAACAGGCTGTTGGAACCACACTGGCGGCTGCGTCGAACTGCTTGATGGTTCATTCGCGTTGCTCGATACACTCTGTTGCATTGCAGCGGCACGAACGGCTTCTTGGATAGCACTCACTTGTGGAATCACAGGCAGTTGAACTTGCTCATGTTGGACAGCTGGCCTATTCTGGTCATATGGCATGAACCACGAATTGGCGCTGAGTGCTGCATTGACCATGTTGAACTGCTGTGGCTGGTTGTATTGCACTTGCTGGCCTCCTACGTGCCACTGCATCCATGGATCACCGACTTGCATTGGCTGCGGTTGCCACGCTGCATCTTGCGAGCATTCTTGATATCCCTGCGTCCATGGATCCTGCCCATTGATCCACGGATCGTTCTGCTGGTCCGGTGTCAGCTGATAGACCTGAGGGAAATCTGGCGTGGCTTGCTCAGCAGCTTGTGTGGGCCTTGGTGTCTCAGTTCCAGGGCCAGTGACATTGGTCCAGCTTGTGCTGTTTGCGAATCACCTGATTGCTGTGGAGGTGCGCTTGGCTCAGCATTAGACCACCTTGCGTTGTCGGCTTCACTTGGTGGGCCACTGGCGGCGGAAACCTGCTCGAAGGTTGCGAAGTGCACTGAGCTCTCTTGCGCGAACAGGCGTCTATCACCGGCTTGCTGGATCTGACCTGAACTGGACTGACCTTGACCTTCAGGTGAGCCTTGATTGCATCATAGAACCGCAGATTGAGCAACGCATGATCTGGCCCTGCCTATCTTTGGGGTTTATCCTCCGACCAAAACCCTTACCTGAAGTGGGTTTGCCTTTGCCTTTTCCCTTGTAGTAGTGCTCAGGGTACGAGTTATGCTGCTTTGACTTGCTCTTACCTTTACCTTTCCCTTTCCTTCTGAGCACCCTGCGAAGGGCACGAACAGGCTTGCCTGAGAATGAGAAGCGTCTCCATCTCTTCTTGGCGCGCTGGCACTCGCCAAAGAGGTATTGATCGGCTTCGTGCTCTGGCAAGTGGGCAAAGTCAGAGGTGTCCAGCTGACCTGAGTCGGACGACGTGGCCAAATCGGTGTCACTGTTGTTACCCTCAGTGACAGGGCACGTGCATTGGTGGAATCTTGTGCGTTCCATGAACCTGGTGCATGGTTCCAACTTGCATCACCTGGCGCCTCCCAACCTGATTGCCATGCATCTTGGCTTGACGCTCCGAACTGCTCAGCATCGTTGACATGGAAATGCTGGGCCTTGGCCTTGTCGGAGAGCGCTGGCCATATTCAACGGCTGGCGTTCCACGATGTGGCCTAAGCGACGGATGTGGGCACAAAGTCTGGTGAACTCGTCGTCTGTGTTCGGAAGTCGGTAGCCGAAGGGTTGTGTCAAGGCTTGGAATTGCTCCGGATTGCAGTCGCATGCTCGAAGCAGGAGGAGAGCTGCAGTCTCAGTGGACACTGTTGCTCCACCTCCTTCCTGCCTTGCTCGACTGCGAACGATCTTGAACCTGGTGATGAGTCCATCAATCGACTCATGCGGCCTACGGTGGAACGAAAGGAGCTCTTGCGCAGCTCGGAGGCGAGTCTCATCATCAAGCGGCGCGAACCTTGATGCCAATCCTTGGAGGATATATGAGACTGGATCCAAGTGGACTCCATTGTACATGCCACCGTGGTACAGTTCCTGAGGCGTGATACTCCTGGCCATTTCTCGAGCAGGACCGCGCAGTTCCACCACCATGGCAGCCTGCTGGTGCGGCTGAAGCTCACTGGAGATGGTCCAAAGCATCAGATCTTGACTCCAGGCTCTGAAGGCCTGGGTATGATCATTTGGGTCATAGATCGGTGGCATCCGCATGGACTGTGCTGCATTCCCGGGATACATGAGCAGGACTATGCACACAATGGTCAATGGGATGGCCATCACTGCGACATGGGCGAGCCGAGTGTTGGCGTGCGCTGCATGGGTCGGTGCACCACTGATCCCTTTGCATGCCACTGCGGGCTCTTGCATGGACCTTGCCATGGCCTGTGTCACCTCGGCGCCGGACATGGTCGGCGGTTCCGGCACTGTTGCAACGGCTTTGCCAATCTCAAAACCTGCGAACGCTTGTGCCTCTTGCGCGAACAACAGCATTGCAAACACAACACGGCTATGGCCAATGCAATGCTTGCACTCTTGAAGTCTGCACGAACTCGGCGGCTGTGGCGGACGCGACCAACTATCACGCGCATCTTTGGTGTGGCCTTGCTGGAGAAGGCATGGATGGCAGTGATCATGGCGGCAACAGCGAACAGCCATTGAAGTTCTGGGCACATGATGCATTCCTTGTGCAGCTGAAGCGAGTGAGTCGGCGGCCGTCATCAAAGCTATCGAGCTGCTTGCACTCTTGGCCTGAGCGGCAAACATGTGGACATGGCGAAAGGCATTGCGAATGGTTGTTGTAGTGAGTGTGGCATTGGTAGTTCTTGTGGCATCGAAGGATGTGGTATTGGAGGTGTTGGCAATCGGCACGAAAAGACAAGGACAATTCCCGTCATCACTGACTGGCGTCAGGATGGTTGTCGTGGCGGTGCACGGAAGACAAAGACTGACCGATTGCGGCAAGGACACAAGACAAGGACAGACCGAACCGTCTCCGGGGGCATCGCCTGGACACGATGCACGAGCCGGGACGCGTGGTGGCGAAAACGGGACAGAAAGACAAGGACACGAACCTAAGCGATCGGCATGGCCTCGAAGGGTGGTGTAGGGAACCACCGGCATGCGAAAAGCGATGTTGGAAATCGCCGGCAAAGTAGCTTCATCGCCCCGAACCAACACAGGGGCTCCGCTACCAACTCGAAACAAAGGTAGGATCCTAGAGTGCATGTAAAGGTGACATGTGTGTGAACATGGTCTAGTGTGATACCAGGCTCTATGCGCACCTTTTTGGGCTGCTGTGTTGTGTCATGACCCGACTTGAGCCAGACACCGGTAGGTCAGGTGCATACCGAGTATGTCGACACGTATACAGAAAGGTCCAAGCAACCTCCTAATTCTTTGTGTTGATAGAGCATCCTCATGCCGAAGCAGAAGCCAAGGTGCAGAATTCGTAGCCCATGATCGTGTGTGCATCAGCCGTCCACGCAGGCCCCAGCTGGCAAAAAAGTCTTGCACAATAGTGGTAAGTAAGCGCTTTGAAAAGGCTTTCCACATAAGCTGCACCCAAGACCTTGAAGAACTCCTGCTCAAGTGCACTTTGAACAAGTCGCAACCGCACAAAAACAGTGTCTGTGTATGTGTCAGATTCTTGACTCAGGTTTGCATGAATGGGCACCAAAGGATGAAACCAAGATTGGCTTTCAACCTTTCAACAAGCATGTGTCGGAAAACCTTAGCGATCAAAAGGTGTGACCGAATTGACGACTGTGCAGCTGCTTCTCAATGTTTGATTTGGATTGACACTGCATTCGGCAACTGGGTTTGGGTTTTCAGGCTTTGTGGAACGTTCTTTGAACTCCTTCGTGGACCATGAGGTTGAATGACCTGATTTAAGTTGCTGTATACACCGTCGGAAGACCCTGCGAGACCGTCGAAGTAGCAGGCCCTATTTCTTGCCACAGGGTTTTCCAGCGTCCATGATGCTTGGCAACCTTTCTTGAAGGACTGGGTTGCTTGCTTGCATTCGAGGAGGAGTTGTTTGATAATTGAAAACTTCTTCTCGGGACACTTTGCAGCTTTAAGTTTCCGCGATTGTTGGCTTTTTCAAGACGCTTGAAGTTGCTCCAACGCAGTGTTTCCCAGCTGTCTTCAGCATGTGACTGTCTTGTAAAGCTGAGTTTTTGGCGCGTTGATCTACTGATTGATACTCTGCGCGTCTCCGACACCAAGCCAGCCGTGAGTGTGAGTGTATGTGCCAGGTCAAAAGAGCGCTAACTTGCGTGACAGTGCAGGCAGGTTGGACCCAAGGAAGCTGGTTCTGACAAGATCTTGGGTTGTGACATTTGGTCGTGGACACCTGCCCTTGACATTAAAAACCGAAGACGCAAGCTTGGAGTTTGGTTCCAAGATGTGGCACCTTCGTTTGCTTAGGCACTGTAACTACCCCCGGCCATTGGATTGTCGCGGCTGCTTCGAGCTGAGAACAGTGCAGCAAAGAACTTAACTGGCATGTCCACACTCTCATAACCGGAAAAGCGGTGCGCCCACAATCGCAAATATCACCGGTGGATCCAGACAGGTAGAACCAGAAGTCCTATCAAGTATATAAAGGATGAGGAACACTGAGCTGGGGAGAACCGGGGTGAGGCCGAGGAAAAACAGAGGACGAGCAGGTTGACACTGCAGAAGAGGAATCCGTCACTTTGCCAGGTCAGCGGAGAGAGTAGTGCAGATTGCCAGGGAGACCTTTACGATGATGACAACGACGACGTCAACGACGAGGCGTTGGAGTGGTTGCCTTTCAGGAGGTCATCCTGAGGTAGGGAGGCCGTGTGTTGGAACTTCCTGCCAAGGTACCACATGCATGATCCGAATTGAGTTTAAAAACGAAGACGACTCTGTATGGAAGAAATTGAATCATGTGTGGGGAGCTGCATGAACAGGCGGTGCACTAGTAACAGGGCAACCTTTCCTCCTACCCCTGCATAACGTCCACAGTAGCTAAGTGAGACTAGTGAAACATTCGGTGAGTGTCACTTCACTGCCCTCGGCCCCCCGGTAACCTTTGATTTTTCCTTTACCGCCCCCCTTTCTTAGCTCGCTTTCGATCAACTCTTCTGTCTCAAAGACCCCGGAACAACAAAACAGGGTTCTGTCCATCCTTCCGGAGTTTCTTTACTTGAGCATTCAGGTGTTTCCCCAAGGAACCTTGAAGATATTGTTGGATGTGAAGCGAGTCGTTACTGAATCCGATTTCAATCACGAAATGCTGGGGCGCACGTTGCCAGTGTTTATGTGCGTTTGGGTCCCCAGAACAACGACTTCGATAAGGGACTGACCCGGTTCATCGAAGAGCAAGAGCAGGAGGAGCAACAAGAAGAAAAAAAAGAAGAGGTTGAAGCAAATGCTGCAGAAGACATGAGGAAAGGAGGACAAGGATGGAAGACAGCAAACTTGATGAAGATGCTGAGTTTGGATGGGGCGTCGAAAGAAATGAAGCAAGACTTGTAAATGCCCAGTCTGTGAGCAAGTGAGCGGCCCTGCACGTTACCCAAAGATGAATCCTTTCATCAGGACCTCCGTCTTTGGGAAGGAAGTGCATTTGGACTTGAAGTACAGGCACGAAGTACATGCACGACACCTGCATGTCGCTTTGAGCATGGTTGATGGAGGGACCTTCTTCCATGCAGCATATTTGCTTCCCAATCAGAAGGCTGATTGTGTTGCCAAGAAGTTTCTTCGTCACTGGTGCTCCCTGTACGGGACGCCAACCACAGTTTACACGGACCAGGGAGTAAGATTTGATGGAACTTTTGTCGGTGGCAACATAGCTTCTCCGAACCTCATGGAGGATTACTGGGCCACGCATGCCATTATCTGCCAGTACAAAGCAAAAAGGACCATCAGAGATGAAGGAAACCCTGGCAGCTATTGAAGAACAGAACCAGACCATCACAAGGGGAGGGTTCATTCCTTATCAGATGGTCTTCGGAAGAACGCCTCTTTTCCCTGACCTTTTCGAGGAAGGCTGAGAGTCGCTCAGCACTAAAGGTGAAGCCTTGAGATGCTCTGAAACGCAAGCTGCTGCAAAGATTTCTCCGATGTGCAGCAAAGACTGCAAGGACAAGTGAGAGCGGTTCGGCGATGGCCAAGAGGCACCATGAAGGAGTTCACACCGGGAGATGGTGTTCTTCTACGCGATTCAACCTTCAGCCAAGCGATTCAGAAGAGGAGGAGGAGGAGGAGGAGCTTTGCGTGGACCAGCGGTGGTTTTGATGGAGAGCAATGAGAGGTACTACATCAGCTGGCCTCAAAAACGCTTGGTTGCAGCTCCGAATCTCAGAGTGTGTTCCGACTTAGTAAAGGGCTTGAGTAAAACGGGAAGAGTAGGTTGGAGGCCATCGCTTTTAGGTTGGAGACCATCGCAAGCAGTTTGGGTGGCCAACACTAGTAGGTTGGCGACGCGCAACTGCAGAACAGTCAAGTTGAAGGTCATCGCTCTTAGGTTGGAGGCCATCGCAAGCAGGTTGGGTTGCCATCACTAGTAGGTTGGTGACATGCAGCTGCAGAACAGTCAAGCGAGGCCATCGCTAGTATGTGGAGGGCAGCGCAACCAGGTTGGAGGCCCTCGCTACAGGAGAACGTGCGTGGCCATAGCGGACGGAGTAAGCTTGCGCCATAGATTTGCCAAGACTTGCTGAAATGCATGAAACCAAGCAGGCAGCCGTTAGGCAAGCCAGAACCTCCTGTTCCTTTTGGAACCCTTCTTTTTAGCTCTTAGGGGTGTCACTGGGCGCAACACCCAGGTACACCCCTCTCCATGGTGTGTCCCTGGACGCTTGTTTCGTAGCTCCATGCCCCCTTCGTCCCTTCTCTCTCTCTCTCTTCTCTCTTTCTCTCTCTCTCTCTCTCTCTCTCTCTCTCTCTCTTTCTCTCTCTCTCTCTCTCTCTCTCTCTCTCTCTCTGTCTCTCTCTCTCTCTATCTCTTTTTTCTCGGTTCTTTTCCATCTGCTCAACACGCCACGGCCACAAGGCCAAAAGTGGCCGACAGCCAACGGTCATTCACCTTGCAACTGTCGTTCCAAACAATGGAACCTAAGCTCTGACCATTCAAGAGTCTGAGCTGATTGGGCCAAATCGGAGCTTTTGTTGTCCACGGCTCCGAAAACAATGCTGGCTCACCCAAGTCTGGACACGGCCCTCTTGGAACTTCGAGCGCTTGAGGCAATGGAGGCATTCGATCCATCCACCCCGCCGGAAGAGCTCGTGGCTATAGGGCGGATCCGCGTCCTCAACTGCAAGTCAGCCTCTTGCACTTTGCCAGCAACACATGGTTTGGCCTGGATGGCCTGCAGCACTTGCTTGCCACATCGTCGAGGAATCTTCAACCAACACACGCTGCAACCAAAACTGCTCCCTTTGACATAGCACCGATGCCCTTCCTGCCCTTCAGCCAACAGGCTGGATTCATCAACCAGCTCCCTCGTCAGCTG